GCGCTCGTGCATCTTAATTTCTTTGCAACCTTAGTCTTCATGAATTCTTTGTTCTCACCTTCACGCTACTCTCGACTTTCCAATCTTCCTTCTATCTCTTCATCTAAATGGGCAGCTAAAACCGGCACACGAAAGTGCTCGGCTGGATGATTGTACAAACTGAACTGAACTTAAGCGCTTAGCTTTTATATCGAATCTGTCGCCGATGTACCCTTGCAAGCCGACAGTCTCTAGTCTGTGTACTATTTTCCGTTTTGGTCTTGTGGTTCGTTCACATCTGTGAGGATTTTGTTCCACCTCCTACAGTTGTTGTTCATTTTGATCATGTAAATTGAATTTGATCCTCGTCGACAAACAGTGCCTGATAGCTCCTTTCTCATCGACAGGATATGTTAGCGATGCTTGTTTTCTAGTTGATATATGTATATATCTTTTCCGGGACTCGAACCGCGAGCCTTTTGTTTGTGAACCGAGAATCTCTGACCGCTATGCTGCACGTTCAGTGTGCGACCGTTTGATCGCATGATTACCATGAACAAGCGTATGATCCTATAAGATGTGAGAGAGTTTTGATCAGGGGAATTTAACAATCCCGCCCAAATGGGGACCCGAGCAAAATAAAAAAATCAAAAGAACGCACCGAACCCCATCCTTTTGAACTAAACAACCGGTAATCCGTATGATATAACTTCTCAGTATCAGTGTAGTTTATCCTCCATTTTTGGCCTTGTTTACCGACACGCCCAGTTTAATCCAAGAATGGTTTACTTATTTTCCATTTAACGCTACGTATTTTATTGATGACACAATCTTTCCAAACGAGCAACACCTCGGATAAAGCTTCGTAGCACATCTGGTGAAACGTACGCCGTACAGGAAGGGACTGAGGTGGCACCCGTTTGTTTGTTCGTGTCTCTCACCGAAACTGGTTTGATCTGTCCGTGTCTATGATTACTTAATTCAGTGTAAACAACGACTAACCCTCGGCCATGAAGCCGTAAACTATATGAATTCTCGATCAGATTGTCGTGGTATTATTGTTCGGAGCGACGGGAAAAACGTGCACCGTCTAATTTAGGTGCTCTCACCGGAGTTTGAATCTTGATAAACTTATCGATCGATGAGCGTAAATTGTAGCGCCATCCAATCATCTAGATGGATTTTTAGACACATCTGACACCTCTAGAAGGTGGTGGTGGCGCAGTGGTTTAGTCACAAGCGTGCTTTGGACCCTATGGTCCAAGATCGAGCCCCGTCACCCGATTTTGGTGGTAGGCAACCGCGCTGTTGTCCGGTCCAATATCACACCTAACCTATCGGGGCTTTATGTGGTTCACCACTCCAAATCCCGGGGCTAAGGTTACCGGTTTCCATCACTGAACGGCAGGTCCTCGTGACTATGGGACTTCCCCGTCTGCTGTTCATCATACGAAAGTGTGTAATAAAAAATAATCACGGGTAAGGGTCCAGTCAGGTTTGAATAGTTCTGTTCCCTTCACGGTTCATTCACTGAGCATTTGTCCAAGCCTATGCATGATGCTATGAGAAAAGTAGTCTACTCGGTTGACCGTGCATCATGAGAGGAGGGGGGGGGGGAATCTGAATATCTTCCGGCTATGAAAGTGAATACCCTGTCCTTAAAATGTGTCAAAGACAAATATGCACATTAGCCTGACCATGTCAATGTTAAACCGTACTCTGGTGCTTTCAAACATGGCGCAAAAATGCAGTTCACGTAAGCCTATGAAGTAAATTAGGTCAGTTTACTGCTGAATTCTGTAGATCGACCGCAATAGGATCTATCTTGAAATTAGGACCCTGTAGAGTGTGCATTCTTCCCTTGTTCGGCCTGCTGTGCCCGGTGAGAGATTTCCCTTCGAAAAATGTCGAACAAATCTGTTCTGTTTCCTAGCAGGTTTTTTCTGTTTTCTGTTCCATTTTCGATTCTCGTTATGACTAAATTCGTCTACCGACCGATCCGGACTGTTCATGAAAAACGAATCGCCAGCTTCTGATATACGTGCCCCTTCGCCCTCACATAGTTCCAGTAACCTATTGTGCAATAGAATCACCGGGGATGCGTCAGACAAAACTCATAAGACATCGATAGAGTTACATGCGGGGAAACATTTGTGCAACGACCACTGAGGAACGCCGGACGACTATTTCTTCCTTCACAGGATTCATCAAGCTGTATGTTCCGGTCGGTTCATACAACCAATTGCCGTTGTTTTTTCAGTTGCCTGTGCGAATGATGGGTTAAACAAAAAGCTGGAATGCCAGGGTAAAAATGCATTCTGCATTTGAATTAAATTCGCGGAGAACTCTGGAGGATGCACCAGGGTCCCCGCTTACAACGGTGCACATCACATGCCATACCGAATAATCCGATTGTGGCTCGCATCGCCTGTCTATTCTCACCGAGCAAGCGATATCAATGGAGTACTCCAGGATGAAGTTGGACTCCATAGTTCGTTGTGTGAAGTAATGCTTTCTTTGCAGGACATTATCCATAGCGGAGTTGAAAAGAAACAGAGATGCGGCAATCCTGTTCGGCTCCACTCTTACGGGGACCGAATGTTCAAATCCAACATAATCCCCTATCTGATAGTGAAATGCTTTTCGCATCAGAACACACTTCTTTGAAACTGAGTAGTCGAAGTCCACTGTGGTATCCAGAAACCCGACAATGCCATTTTTACATCTGCGTATGCGTGTCGATGTTCTAACCACTGTGGTGAGATGAAGTGCTAATTCGAACTACCACGGCTTTCGTGCAACTCAGCCTGCTCTTCGCGAACGGTAGCCAATCGGCGTAGTGAAACGGTCGACCTCAGTTTTGACACTGTCAGAATCTGACCTATGTTTCTGTGCTGGGAACAAACACCGCGAGCTACTCCCGTGTAAATAGGTGCACCAATCGACATTTCTCACGAAAGCAGTGCGGTGGTCTAGTCAACGACGTATCATCAAGGCTCGTTAGTGTAGGGTGCAATCGATCTGTTAACCAAACAGCCTTGCATATGCTGACTTGTTTGTCCGGGGAAGAACGTTTCCCTGAATATGTAAACCATGTTTGAATCTATCGAACATATTCGGGTTCTCTAAAGGGTTCATGTGTGATCGGTTTAACGTCTCTATCCGGCGGTAGCTCATTGGGGTCTTTTTGTTTGCTCTGGTTTTTATTGTGAATGGTAGGTCTGTGTTGAATTCAATAATTTAATCAGTCTTTTAACCGCACTTCGTGTATTCCCTTGGGTTCTCTGCTTGCATGTACCACCTCCTCTCATTCCATTTTCTCGGTCATCATAGCCATACTTAGTCTACGCCTTCAGATTTCACTAATTTTGCACCTATTGCAAAATCTTTTCTCGC